TGTACTCACGGAATTTTCCTTTAAATTATATAAAAATTACATGACGAATATCATTTTGACTTATCTCAATATGTATTATCATGTGTAAACTTCAATCAGGTCAAAGCACTTGTAATTCGCATTTCTTTAACAGTTTCTTCGTGATACATCATGAAATTATCGAGTCGAGCGTCGTCAAATATTGAGCTCGGTTTTAAACTGTTGACAAAAAATATCCAAATGAACTCGTTAACCTATCTAACAAGGTGATGGGTTTCGAATGAGAATACGTGTTCATTACTTGGACTCCTATAAACTCCCAACATACCGACGTGTTGACCGAAATAAAATGATCTCACTCATTGGCATGTCAAAAGAACTTCGAAGTCAAGAATAGTAATCACTTCCGATAGCAAATTTAGATAATTCGTAAGACAATCAGCATTTTACTTAGTTCATTCTAATACACTTCCAAGTGTGCTAGTGTCATAGTTCCGAACGGATAGTAACGCGGTTAACACATTGGGTTGCCTAATTGGTAGAGTATCAAACCTACAACCCAAGTAGAATGCAAATATCTACTAGCCAATTTAGGAGAACAAAAAAAATTATGGATCAAAACACGAGTTATAATATCTTCTGCACTTCTCTATGCAAGCACCTAACTCGTATTAATGAATGTGATCGTACGGTTAATCACTTACTCAATTATGCAATAAAAACTTAACCGAAATAATATCACAATGTAAAATAATAATAGGATGGTTGAGATAGACGATGACGCACGAAGATAGTCGTGAAGTACCTTAAATCTCTACAAGTAAGGGTGTTGAAATGTTAAATTTAGTAATTCTTTGGCTATGTTAAGATGGTGATTATTATAAGGCCATGTATGCCTCTCATTGTTTCAAAACATTGTTTGCTACAGTAAGATTCTCCACTACACATTTATCCAATAAAATATTCTACACATAAACCAATTAAGTTACTTTAAATTTCACACATTCTCCAAAAAATAATATTCATTACTCAATTTCTTCTACGATAATGAGAGACAAACACACACTAATTCTGGAGAAAAATTCAAAAGATGAATGGTCATGTAAAAAATCTCAAAACATGGTGACTTTGTACAAATTAGCATCTTAAGCTCATGTTCGGTTTTGTTATAATCAAATTTTTAATAGATTTTGATAAAACTTGATGGATTGTGCAGTTGAAAATTGAGATCGGAATTTTACATTATATTTAAAAGATATATTAATAATTATATTAGGAAAAAAGGGTCTGATAATTTTTTACGTTTGTCCAGAATTTTTTATTAATTTAAATTTAAAGTGGTGATTATTTTTTGATTTGTTAAGGGCTAAAATATTATCTGGCGCGCCTTATCATTTCTCTCTCTCCCAATTTTCGTGTCCTCTTTATCAATGGCAGCTATCCACAAACTATATATTCCCATAATTTTCGTGTCCTCTTCCCACTCATGTAAACCTTCGATCTCACTAAACACCCCTAACTATAAATCCCAATTGTTTGGCACCACATTATCAAGAATTTATAGCAATCAAACCCCAGTACCGACACTCTCAAGAAGGCTGTTGTTGCCTTCAGTTT